AGAGGGAGAGGAGAGGGAGAGGAGAGGGAGAGGAGAGGGAGAGGAGAGGGAGAGGAGAAGAGGAGAGGAGAGGGAGAGGAGAAGAGGAGAGGAGAGGGAGAGGAGAAGAGGAGAGGAGAGGGAGAGGAGAAGAGGAGAGGAGAGGGAGAGGAGAAGAGGAGAGGAGAGGGAGAGGAGAAGAGGAGAGGAGAGGGAGAGGAGAAGAGGAGAGGAGAGGGAGAGGAGAAGAGGAGAGGAGAGGGAGAGGAGAAGAGGAGAGGAGAGGAAGAGGGAGGAATAGGGAGGGAGCTCGATAGGAAAATGCCTGTCAGGTTGTTCTTGTGGAGTCCTTCCTGGCTATTACACTGCAATGTGGAAGTTGACTCTGTTAATGCATTAAAAATTTTAGGAAATAAGCAAGTCAAATTTTGTATTTGTACTTACTACATTTGTAATTCTTCAGCAGTCAAGGAACAATACTCCAGTGATGAACAGCAGCATCGTTCTGAGATGGCAAAGCAGCATTAACCTTGTTAATCTCGGAGCATAAAAATTACTAATACTGTTAAGTAGGATATTCAAATAATGATGTGGTTTATGTTCTTTAAACAATAGTGTATATTGCAAAATTGATTTTGAAGGGGGAGGCAGGGTTTGATGATATTTGCAAAACAGATCTTGACCAGTCAGAATACTTCAATACCCCCAGATATTTGCTCAATGGCTGACAAGTGCAGATTGCTCTTTCTGTTATCGTAAATAAAGCAAAATGCAAAGCTACATCTTTTGAAACAAAGAGCCAAATGGTATGAGTCACCACTCACACCACCACTATCACAATACCACAAAGAAAGCTTGGCTATTTAATAAACATTTCAATTCAGATTGCCATTTCAGTAACACGTTTATGTTCTCAAGTAATCTTAGACCTAATTCTTTCAAAGTCTGCTTTATTAATGTAGTCAGCAATTTTATACCAAAATTTTTCTAAATGTATTTCTAATTTCTCCTTCTCCACCCAAAAATCAGAAGGGTATATTTCTGATGTATTTATATTGTTAAAAAAATTATCAAAAATAAATAATCTTTTCTTTTAGCTACTTTGAGATTTTGTGTAAAGATATGAAATTTAATTTGAAACGGTAACTGTGATGAGACTGTGTTTAAAGTATAACTTACCAAGTTGGCTTATTTCTGCTTTGTCTGTTAAACTGCTTACATTCTCACTCTCAGCCAGCTTCATTATGAAATTGCATTGTATACTATAATGAGAAGAAAAAGCTTTAGACTCAAGAAACAGATCTGCTTCATCTTTACAACACATGAAACTAACACCAAATGCTAAGTGTGAAAGCATATTTTTCCTAGGCTCTTTCAGATTTCAGTATATTTTTAATGCCCATAAACCATGATGCTAGGCTAAATAGAGGAGAAATATGTCAGTTTGTGGCAGCTTATTTTCTCTTTCCTCTACAGACACTGTTGATTCTTAAATGGGGTCTTCCCTAATTAATGTTAGTCACTAAAGTGTTGATAATTTTGTAAAGATAATAATGTAATCTCCACTGTTACTGGAAAGAAACTCCAGAGAGGAACTAGCAAAGTGTCCTAGCTGGCTATGTCAGTGTATACGAAATCTCCATCACCTGGGGAAAGACAGTGTTCTCTCTCTTGACTTTAGAGAGAATTTAAATGATCCACTCAAGCATGTAACTACACATTTACAATTACGGTTTGATGACTTGAAACCCTGCCTAAACTAGCAAACCTACAGTAAGAATTCTTCAGGTTCAGCAAACTCAAACACACAGGTAAACGAAAAAGTAACACACAAAAGATGAAGTGAAGCTTCTTTCCAGCTAACAAGAATGAGAACAGTACACTAACTACTGCTGCTGGTATATCACATAAAGGTGGGATCTGACCTTCTGTCTGTTACTATTGGAGAGTTTTGGACCCTTTCTTCCTAACTCAGGAAGATAAACTCCAATTTCAAGTATTTGGGGAAATGAAGTTCCACGTTTTGTTTTAGAATATAGTGTTTCCAAGCTCATCACTTTAGAGGACCAGCAATTTAGTGGTGAGTAGCAATTAAATTGACAGACATTATCTACATTTCAGGGTTTCCAGCATCACCTCTGTGGAGCAGCCTTGCCATTCTAATACCTCATATCTTCCAAATCCTGAACTAGTTACCTTCTCAGGCTTCCCCTACCTTGAGGATGGCTGGTTTCCCAAGCCAAAGAACAAAAACTTATGATGTCTGAAGCAATTCCCTCACAAAGACTGCATTGTATTCACAAGATCTGGAAGTTTGGTGGTTGCAAATCCCATGCCCTTAGTGGCTAAGTTGCTATGTGACTCAGCTAATACAAAGATGCAGAAGAAATATGGCAGGCAAGCTTGTGCTTCACCAGAAGATTAATGAGAAGCAATATAGTTTGATTAAAACAAACAAACAAACAAACAAACAAAACAACAAACCCTTAAAAAAAAAGAAATCATTAATGCTAGGAGAATAATGGAATCAGAATTTCTTTGTCAGCCTACATATATTTCTCCGGCCTGTTTCTCAAACTTAACTTCCTAGAAAGTTTGTTTTTTCTTCTGTTACATAGCCATTCACACTTGATATATCACAAAACAATATATGAGCTTTTAAATATATGAGTATTTAAAAAGTTAACAACAAACCTCTGGTTTTCTGCCCTGCATTCCATAACAGAGGACTGTAACGACAAGCGAAAACAGAAAAAAATTGTTTTGTCAGGGAAAACATGACTGATACTGACATTATCAAAAATAAGTTGGAAGAAAGTTTTCCAAACGGTAACAACAATTAGTAATCTTACCTCACTTACTGCTTGCAAGGTTTTGTTGAATTCTGAAAGCCTTTAAAATAAAAAGTTACCATTACGGAGGATTTCTAGTTGTGTTTCTAAAGACAATTACAACAATATAATGAAAAGAACAAGCAATTACTGAGAAAAAAATTCCTTTTTCCAGTTGATCAATGATTTTTAAAAATCATGCCAGTTCTAATATTATAAAACTGCTTTTCAAAGGATTTAACATTTTAAAAGTTGCCTTTTATTAGTCACTCCACAAACTAAGTTTAGATCTCTGTCATCTAAGTCTTCATGTTGCCTTTTGGCAAGCAAGCATTTGGAACAGAATTCTACATTTAATCTCAAAGCCACAGAAACAGAATGGGTAAGAAATACAAATTTCTTCTACAAACAAGGCCAGTTGGTCAATTACATCTATTCAATTTTCAGGGTAAGTTTTGTGAATAACAATAAATATTCACTTATTCAAACCTCTCCCTATAAAAACTGTGAAAGAAAAAACTACACCTAAATAAAAATACAGCTATGACTCCAAGAATACGTATTAAAAAACATGCAACTATGAAAGTATTCTTAGTAATTTCTTATGAGACAGACCAAATCTCTGAAATTATAAAAAACATTTATTCATGAAGAGCAGAATCCAGACTGGCATTCTCAACAATTCACAGCTCATGTCCTTAGGTGGTA